TAATTTTATACTTAAGGGTAAAGTATATACTTAAGAGTAAAGTCGTAATACTTAAGGGTAAAATCGTAATTTTATTAATTCTTATTGGGTTATCGGTTAACCTATTAACAAAAGGAAAATTACCAGCTATGTCCATTTATAAGTAGCTCATTACAAAAATTGGCCAATTGATAAAATATTACTAATATTAGCCAAACTAGCCAATTAGCTATTTGTAGCAAAAAATATCAAATTTTTGTTTTGTTTTGAGTGGGTGTTATTAGAATAGATTGGGCACAACTCAAGGAGCTTGAATCTCAGTTTTGGGATGATTTGGTGAAGTTTTGAGTTGGTTTGAATTGAAAATTCGAAGTAAAAGCTGAACATGAAAAAAAATGACATGTGTATCACATTGTGTATCATTTGTGTATAACATATGTATCATATTTGTATCAATTGTGTATCACATGTATATCCATGTATACCTGTGTGTCTGATACATGCGTGATACATGTTTGATACATGTGTCGCAGAAGACTTTTTTGAACTCGATTTAATTACGAATTTTGATACAAAACCAGGCCAAATCACCTCCAATCTTCCTCAAATTTTGTATATTGATTTATCTATATATTTTCAATGAATTTCAACTATACCCATTGAAAAAGTTCCTTTTTTGTTTAGATTTTTGGAATATTGTATAGATTTTTGTATTTCATCACCTTATTTGCTACCCCGTCCATGAAATTTCCTTTCCGTCTTGTATCTAATGTTGCTAATCACGCTTAAAAATATGGAAGGTGATTTTTGCATGTGATTCTTTGAGAGAAAAAACCCTATTATTTGATTTTTTAATTTTTGTTGGCTAGTTTTGGTAAGTCTATGACTAATGGCTAGAGGTTGGTAAGTTGAGATTTATTTGGGACATTTGTGTAAGTTTCCCTTAACAAAATTGGCAAACCGAGGCCCGAACCGATATCCCAATAGTGAAAAAATTCTAAACCGTTACCGAACCGTTAACCCAATAACCCGATACTGATAACCCAATAAATATTTAACGGTTCGAATTATCGATTTTACCCGATATATGCTCAACCCTATCACCTACAATATAACTATAAGTAACTATCATTAATAAGTGAAATTAATAACCTAAAAAATAAGGCATACAATCAGTTCTAATAGATTAAGTTACGATAATGTAAACTTTTTATACTCTCAATATATACAGATTAAATCGGACAACATAACCATCTCAAGACTACAACATCTAATTGTAACTTTTATAAGTGTAGCTTTAGGATATTAATCAAATATTTGTCATACGTATAGATACTCTTATATGGGTGTAACTTTTAAGTAAACTGGAGTTTTAAACAAACGAATCTAAAATAAAACAAAACAATAGCAAACTATTTCCAAGTATTTCTTCCTTTTCAATTTATGTAGCGTAGTTTGACTCAATACAGTTTAAGAAAAATTTTTGAGATTAAATATACTGTAACATTTGTGTGGCTATAAGATATTTTGAACCTGATGGTCTTAAATATGCATGTCATCACATTTTTATGACTAAATAAGAGTGACGAAAACAGTGTCGAAAAACGTTCAAGGAATGGGGTATTAAACGTTGTGTTTAGGAGTGCACTGATAGTGTAAAAAAATTATTTAGGAAATTATATCACTTATTAGGTAATTACCTTTAAAAAATTGATAATTTGTAAAAATAATAAGTAGCTAATACTATACTATATTACAAATTAAAATTCACTCATAATAAAAGGTTTGCACCACTATATATAACTTAAATACATGGTTGATTCATTAAAATTGAGGAAAGCCTAGAGAGTAGATGAGGAAAAATTTTATTTTGTGCATCACACAACTGACACTAGTTGTGTGAGGCATTTTTTTTGTCTCACAACTGTGTGGGTCTCAGAATTTTGTGGACCCAGATATGTAAAATATGAGTCCACAAATATGTAAGATAAAAAAAGACATCATACAACTAGTATAAGTTGTGTGAAACACAAAATAAAATCACTCGTAGATAAGGCACTAGATCCTAAAATGCACGCACTTAGATGAGTAGCTTTTTATACCCATGGGTTTTGGCTTTTGGGAATGCCATTTTGTCCTTAATTCCCAAAACCACTAGTCAGTCTGCCCTGTTGTATTTGGGGCGAAAGTTATTTTCAAGAAAATATTAATGAAAATTACTTTTCATTAAAAAAGATTTATTTTATTATTTCATCAAAATAGAGAAAGCGATCCATTTTTTATGGTCGAAAGTCATTTTTCATACTAATTATCTTATTTCTGACATGATTCTGTGTACGAGGTAATTTCCGATATGAATGCAGACATAAAATCTATAAGTTAGTTTTTTTTTTTGGTTTCCCACCCGACGTCAGGTAACTGTATTGGAGCCCGATTATATCCGGATTCGCGTCGCATAGGGCCCCTTTCGGGGGGAAGCGCTCCCTACCAAGGATTTTTTCATACCCAGGGCTCGAACTCGAGACCTCTAGTTAAGGGAGGAGCAGTCCCATCCATTGCACCACATCCTTTGGTGGTAATCTATAAGTTGTTTTTTTTTTTTTTTTTGGTTTCATAAAATCTATAAGTTGTATTTTAAAAAGATTTATATATTTAGAAGTTATATAAGTAATACAATAACTTGCGATAGTTAACAATTTAAATTATATAAAATGTATTTGAAAAATTTGTGGTAAGAAAAATACTTCTTTAACTCTCCAAATAATAATTATGTTATATAAATAGCTGAGTAGCTTTAACTTTATATTACTTGCTTTAACTATAACACTTATGATATTACTATTAATTTTTATTACTTAAAAATGTCACCAAAATACTATCCAGTTTAATAATATTATTATTATTATTCTTTATTACTCAAAAATATCATCATAACACTTTCCAGTTTAATAATATTATTATTAATCTTGACTATATATTCTTGCCTGTGAGTATTCTTCACTCATCAGAACTTGCTCCTATCTGAGTACTTAATTATTAAAATCCATAGTTTCAGACAATTCAGTCCAGTTCATGTACCGACAAACAAATCTTATGAACCGACCACAACAGCAACCTTTTTTCCGCTCGGATTAAGTATCCATTTTGGAGTCCGACTAATTTGTATCACGTAAGGTCTATTTTTAACAGAATAGTTTTTTTTATTTTTAAAGCTCGAACTCGAGACCTTTGATTAAGGATTCAAGAATCTTATCTATTCCACCACGAGGCGAACACAACATGAACTTTTTTTTCTCACTCGGGATTTAGTATCCGTTTTAGGGTCCGACTAATTCGGATTCGTACGCGTAAGGTCTATTAAAGGGCAAACGGATCTTATTAGAATATTTTTTTCATTCTCAAAACTCTAAATTCTATTAAGGATTGAGGAATTTTATCTATTCCACCCCGAGGCGACCACAACACGAACCTGGTAACCTGCAAATACACAGTACATAGTACTCTTTTAAATAGTAAATAGATTGAAACAAAACTAGTTACTCGGACGTTGGAAATAAACCAAAACCATCAAACTGTTGTCCAACCTAAAGCCCTAAAATGCCTATAAATATCCATTCTTGTTGCACTCATAAATTAACTCAATCTTGCAAAGCAGAAATATTACTTTCCTATCTTCTTCTTCAGTTGAAAGTTTTTCAAATACAAACTAAAATGGCAAAGAATGTGAGTTTGGCTTCAGTGGACCAAAAATTAGCCATGGCTAAGCGTTGCTCTCATGGTACTTTTGTCTTTCTTGGCTTGTACCTCAACCCCACAACCCCCCCCACCCCCCCCCCCCCACCCTTGATTTTTCATTATAACTTGATCAACTAATGAATGATATTTATTGTATATGCAGAAGGAGTAGTTGCAGGAGCAAAGGCAGCAGTTGTTGCAACAGTTGCAACTGCCATTCCAACTGTAAGCTACACTATCTATATCTATATTTTTCGAGATTTAGTTTGTGTTTTGTCCGATAGAGTATTAAAGATTGATAGTAATATCTAAGAGTCGTTAAAGTTGTGAGGTAATTGTGAAAGAAAATGACTTCCGTCCAAAAGTGAATCATCTTCATGCATTTGGTGGAACATGTTAACCAACCACCAGCAAATGAAATGAGTTATTTTTTAGAGAACAAAAAGGGCAGCCTGGTGCACTAAGCTCGCTCGCGGTATGCGCGGGGTACGGGGAAGCCCGGACCATAGGGGTCTACTGTATGCAGCTGCGTTTCTGCAAGAGGCTGTTTCCACGGCTCAAACCCGTGACCTCCGGTCACATGGCAGCAACTTTACCAGTTGCACCAAGGCTCTCCGTTATTTCTTAGAGAACATTTTTCGTCGTACCAAATATACAAATATATACTTGTGTTCTAATGTATCAAATTTTGATGAAATATTATGCAGTTGGCTTGTGGGAAGATATCACCTTGGGCAAGAGCAAATCTCAATCCAACTGCTAAAGCACTCATTGTATCCACAGCTGCTGGAATGGCATATTTTATTGTAGCAGACAAGACTATTCTTGCAACTGCTAGGCAAAACTCCTTCAAACAGGGCTAAGGCTCAATCTCTGACAATCAATTGAATCACTAATCTCTTCAAGTATATTAGCACTACGTTTTATTCTGATATCAACATTACTGTAATCCCCGTTTAAGTACACAATTATGCGATTGATGAGAGAGGTCGGCTCAGTTGACAAGACGCCTGTATGTCCAATCAGTAGGTCAGAGGTTCGAGTCACGTGGGATAAGTAGAAACCTCTATTGATCCCCGGCAATAGTGCATAGTGCACGCCAAAAAAATGTCACTCCGTCTATGTATTACCAGCATCAATATCTATTATTGTGAATATAATAAAGTTGGCTTTTCGCTAACAATGCATTAGCTTCTTTTCTTAAACTTGATAACCTTGATCAGATGAAATAACCTGGTTTTGATGCCTTTTGCAATCCGCGAATCATTTAATGCCACTGGCAACAGTATCTTCTTCGTGACCATTTCAAGATTACAGTATATATTTTGTAAAGCTTACGTACCACTGTTGCAGTATTTGAAATCGTCAATGGAGTTTACAGAGAATAATGTACAAAATTTATGTCCATCACTCCATCTTAATGATCGACATTTTGGATAATCTGCGACACCAAGTTATTTTCTCAGCTATAGAAGTAGCATCTTTATCGGATATTGTTATTTGCTTCTCTCAAATACATGAGAGCATATACTGAGCCATCACTTGCTTGATCTTTATCAGTTCACCAGTAGTCCATGCATGAGCAAAATCCATCCTTGAAATGGTGAAATCGGTTCCTATCTCTTGCAATGATCTCCCTATTAAATATCTTAGATATTAACTTCGTGGCTTCGTGACAATTGCCACACACTCGAAGATTCTTAACAATCCTGAGAGTTGTCCCTGGTTTGGTACTGATCAATCCAAAGGCGATCGCCAACTTCTCGCTATGTTCACTTAGCTTCCCCTCCTTCCACTCCTCGTCCATCTCATAATGTACCTCAGATGTATCTGGAACATGGCCAGCCATTTCCAATAGCCTATCAACTTCATCTAGCATCTTATAAATATCGTTGCTTTGCGGATGTGTTCTATCACTAACAAGAAACTCATGGACTACTCTATCAATCTCAATGGAGGTACAGCCGGGAACTTTCTTCATCCCTTTATCATTTAAAAAGGTTCTTATCAATGCTACTTTGTCCCATTCCCCAGCACCTGCATAGATGTTGGATAAGAGCACGTACGCCCCAGGATTCTCAGGTTCCAGTTCAAATAGGTTCTTTGCAGCATATTCGCCTAACTCAAGATTCTTGTGTATTCTACAAGCCCCTAGCAAGGAACCCCATATTGCACCATCGGGTTTCACGTCCATGCTTTCAATCATGGCCATTGCTTCATCGAATTTCCCTGCTCGTCCTAGAAGGTCAATCATACATCCATAATGTTGCAACTTTGGTGTGTAGTTGTAGCTTTGGATCATGGTATTAAAATATTCCTGACCAAGATCCACTAAACCAGCATGACTACACGCTGTTAAAATGCTGACGAATGTTATATCATCTGGCTTCATTCCTTCCTCTGTCATTTTCCGGAAAAGCTCCAGTGCTTCATATGCATCCCCATGCATTGCTAGCCCTGAGATCATCACATTATATGAAGCTAAAGTTTTAGTTTTCATTCCCTGAAAGACTTGTTTTGCTGCTGCAATGGCTCCACATTTTGCATACATATTTATCAGAGTAGTCCAAAGAGAAGTGTTTTGTAAGTGTTGACAATGCTTGTTAATATAAGCATGTATCCACTTGCCAAGATCTAGAGCACCTAAATGCCCACAAGCCGGAAGGATACTCAACAAAGTAACATCATTAGGCGCCATATTTGCCAGCTGCATTCGATGAAAAACAGCCAACGCTTCTCTATAATTGCCCGTATGTGTATAACCCCCAATCATAACATTCCACGATACGAGATCTTTGTCCTCTAGACCCTCGAATAAGTTCCTTGCACTGTCAATATTGCCACATTTTGCATACATATCAATAAGGGCATTCACAAGACGTATATTCGAACCAAGACCATGATCTTCAATCCACGACTGCACCCGACTCCCTAATTTAAGTTCACCTGCACGAGCACAAGCAGAGAGAACACTCAACAACGTGCTCACCGAAGGTGTCACATCCACTTTTCTCATCTCCTCAAACAACATTAACGCCTCCTCAAACCGACCCATCTGAGTATACCCTGAAATCATAGCATTCCACGAAACAACATCTCTTACAGGCATTTCATCAAACAGCTGACGAGCATCATCCACACGGCCCTTCAACGCGTACCCATTAATCAATGCCGTGAAAGACACAGCATCTCTTTCAGAACTTTTATCAAACACCAATCTAGCATCATCCAATTCACCATTTTGAGCATACATATTAATAAGTGAAGCATGTACATAAACATCAGTCATCAACCCAAGCTTAAAAACATGCCCATGAATCACTTTCCCCATCTGGGTATCCATAACTTTAGCACAAGATTTAAAAACAAATGGAAATGTATAAGAATTCGGTAAATTACCGGAAAAAAGCAATTTTTCATAAAATTCAATTGCTAAATTTGGATATTCACTCAATGAGTATCCCCTAATTATCATGTTAAACATAACGTGATTAGGGTTTTCAGTAGTATTAAAGATTGATAAAGCATATGGCAAGTCAGCATTAGGATTAACTGCACAAAATTCAATTAGTTTGCTTAGTGCAAATTGGGTATTGTGTAAACCAAATTTTATGAACTGAGAATGCACTTTTTTAAGGTCCTCCATGTTTTTGCATTTTGATAAAAGAGCAAAAGATGGGTGGGTTTGGAGGAATTTGTAAGGGGGATCTGAGCCTGGGAGAAAGTGGAAGATAGTTAAAGGTGCAGTTGAAGGGTGGGAGAAAGAGTGTGTCATTCTTTTGTGTTCTGATTTTGGTACTCAAAAGCTAAGTTGATGTCATAGAAAAAAGGGGATAAAGGTCCAAGTTTGAACAGTTAATAGAATTTTTTACATTATCAGGTAGCATGTAATAGGGTTGTTCACTTGGGTCGGATATGCGAAATCCGAACCGATCCATTCAATTTCAGATTTTCCATTTCAGATTGTGTTTATTAAAATTTCGGATCTCAGATTGGTATAATTTTAATACGGTCCGATCCGATCCGATTTGAAATCCGAAATTATTAGGTCATGTATAAATACTACACTTTAATTTCGGATAATTAGTACTTCCTTTACATTTTCCTCCAAGTTATTACCTTTACAATTGATGGATTTAGATATATTGGCACCATAGTACTCTCATAATTGCAGAAACATGAATTTTTCTTACTGTATTGCCTCTTTTACAAAGAAAATATACATATGAGTTTGCAACTTTGAGGCATAATAAACTGATCTGAAATCCGAAAATCTGATCCGATCCAATCTTTAAAATCCGATCCGATCGGATATTAATTCGGATCGGAATCGGATTGCATTTTCTAGAATCCGAAATCCGATTCGATATGTGCTAAATCCAATCCGATCCTATCCATGCACAACCCTAGCATGTAATGTTTCTTATTTTCAAGATTATAAATGTTATCTTTTACTGGCCGATATATATATTACTTGAACTTGAAATGAAATTTGACCCCTAAAAAACTATTGCAATCGAGTGCAAAAACATTTCATGCCTTCATAAATTTTTGTATTCTTGTTTGATACAAGTTGAGTTGATATCATAGGAAAAGGAGATAAAAGATCCAATTTTGAAATGAGTTTAAGTTTATACACTGACAGTGTAAAAGTAGTTATACAATTAAGTAGTATCGGTAGAGGTTCTACAACTTGTGTTCAATACATTGTCCCAAAAATGGATGTTTCTGAGTGTGAACATTATGGGAATTTGCTTATTTGGCTTACAAGAATATTGATGTAGGTGTTTTTAAGAATATATTCTGTTTTTTTCGAGTTGCAGCCTTTTGCAATTGGCTCAAAAGTAATTCTGCTACACACTGTTGGTCTGTTACAAAGTATTTGACTACAAATTTGTTATGTTATCCAGGTTCAGTATGGGCAGTGGAGGTATAACTACCAATGGAACTATATATCCAACAAGCTAATGTAACCTTTTTGCTTTTGGAACAACTGGTATGGCTTTTGCTACAAAATTATTGTGCCAAAATATAGTACTTGTCACTTTTAACAGGTTTGACTGGATTATGAGCTTTATCCATATTGGTTGCAGATGTGTTGCAATTTGTAAGTTGAACTATGAAAACCAGGAAAGAAGATGGACTATACATTACTTTGTTTATGTATGCTAGATATCCTTGCTAATCATTCATCAAATGAAGTTTTCAAGTCTTAATCTATAGAGGGGGAAGGGGAGCCTTGGCGTAATTGGTAAAGTTGCTGTCATGTGACCAAGAAGTCACGGGTTCAAGCCGTGGAAACACCCTCTTGCAGAAATGCAGGGTAAGACTACGTACAATAAACCCTTATGGTCCGGCGCTGCCTTTTTAATCTATAGGGGTGGGGCGTGGGGTGGTGGTGGGGGGTGGGATAAACCATAAAAGCCTTTGCAAAAGGATTAGTCCTGTTTGCTGACAAGTTAAAAACCTTGATATCTAGACGGGCGTAAACGTATTCTCTTTCATGTTGTGGTAGAAACATAAGCTGAATGGACATAGATGATCAGAGTCGGATCCAGAATCTATCTTAGTGCCGAACTCATTATACTTTGGAAGTTGTGAGTTTGGATTTACCAGTTGTTGATGTAGCATATATATATCTATGTTCCGTGTCGAAGATATAGGGTTCAGATGAACCATTTTCCCAAGGCTGCATCTGCCTCTCTTAAGATGATAGAAGGGCATGTAGGAGAGATTTGTGGGTTGACTTTTGAGATAAATGAGGCAACTGAAATAGTTAATAGTTGAGACTAGAATGAGAATTTTCCAAAGAATAATTAGCTGGAGTTGCTTGCCACCTATAACCATGATTGTGAAGTATCTGCGAGAAGTCGGAAGATAAAAGCGCCTGGCACCAGAGGCAGACGGATTATATAGTCAATGCGCTCAACCTCCCAATATTTTCGACAAAAAGCATAGATACATATGTCAAATATCACTAAAATTTCAACAAACATTAAATTCTAAACCCGTAATTTCAAATGTGTAATCTTGGATCCATCGCTGTTTGGCGTCCTGATATCTTTGCAGCTGTGGCTACCTGCTGCTACATTGCTTGAGAGTGGATCAGCGCGTTAGTATTTTGAAATGGTGCTTTGATCCAGCAACCCAATCATTGGATACAATAACAAAAAATATCCAACTGAACTCATTTCGATATGGTTTATTTCGATGCTGAAGACCAATAAGAAAACAGGCCATAGTGGGGGCACTACAAGGGCTATCCAAAATGATTTTCTGGCTTTTTTCCAATTCCCTTTTTACCACTACTAGTGACTTTACTTAGAATCAATATCAATCAATCTTTAGGACCCTTTATTCTGATGAGATATAAGAGTGTGAACTCACTTGTCAAGCCGAGATCTTGCTAAAAGTAGTGGAGAACCCCGGCTAAAACCATTCTGTGTGTTCATTTGGCTATAATGAACACACCTATAGAGGGCATCTACAATCATTCTTCTTGATTTTATGGTCACAATCATCAATGTCGTTAATATACGATGAGTTATCCCCCCCCCCCCCCACCCCCCACCCTCCCTTTTTCAAATAAGTCATTTGTACAGATCACAAGAATATATCTTAATTAAGCACTATTATCAAAAGTAGCTCTAGCTAAAACTTACCTTGTGACAGCACAATAAGAATATGCAAATTCAAAAGCAACGGCTATTTTGATCATTACCATTAGGATATAGATTCTTGGCAAGTATTATTGAGGAGGATTGGACCCCTTTACAGAATGGTCACATATATAGAATAAAAGATGGAGCTTTGTCTGATGTTTTCTTATCCAGAATATGCATCTTGTCTGGTTAAAAATGGTGATTAGGATTCCTCCTTATCAAATCCTATGTCAACACGCGAGCTTCTGTGCTTAGGTGGAATCATCTATGGTTGCCATATCAGCATTTGTGGCCCCGATAATTGGTCAAATGGCTTCAACGCATTGTCAATCTCACATTAATATTGTATTTATCCCGATAAGAACACCATATTATGTGTTTGTATGGGAGGCCTGGATTTTTTTCTGTGACTCATCAATGACAATACATTGTGTAGTATTCACTCATTTGTTGACAGTTATAACTGTGAGGACAATTTGTCAATTCTTGGATCATTGATTTAAAACTGATTGGAACCGCTGTCGAGTTAGAACCTTAGCTGAAACTATCCTAACATAAATGCATAATCAACTGTCTCTTTAGTAAGGGAATTCAGATATTAGCATTCTCCTTTTAAGGCTTTTGAACCAAGTCAAGTTATAACCTTACACAGCTACACTTCTTTTCCTTCTCTGTAAGCGAGAGATCACTACGTTGATTGTTGCCAAAGATGGTTAAACTTTTGACTTATCATATAAACAATTGCAGGGCTTCAGGGTCACAAAGTTGAAATCTTGTGCCATGCATCGCATTCAGAATCTTCAGAGAATACTGATTTCTTTATTGATGAAAAACAAAGGTAAACGCCGTGTAATCGTTTACCATAATACATTGTTAAAGCTACCTGTCAAGAAAGAGGTATTTCTCTTAAGATGTATTCAATACTGTCAGGAATAATGCAACTCTCACGTTTTGTTCCATATTCATGTATCTGCACCTTAGTGTGCCAATAAAAGGCTTTTATATTCTTGGCAATCTATTTGGTGAAAAGCTAGATGTGTGATTAAGAGCTCTAAAACTGGTATTATGTCAAAATAAACACGTAAACACAGACTTGACAGAACAGGAGATGAAAAGAAGTCCACTTCAGTTCACTTTTAAATTATTAAGAAGAATATAACACAAGAATAGAATAATAGGACTTGAATTATGAGGGAATTGATTCCTTGGTGGTAAAATTGTTACAGTTTTTGCCCCTTTAGAACCTGGACCATTTTCCACCTGAACGACATTAGCCTTTGTGTCAGGCAGTTGCTTGCATCGGCAATGTGGATTACACATTCTCATCTAAAGTGTAAGCGTGTGAATCCAAATCATCTCGAGGGTCCATTGATATTAGCAAGACCACCACCTTTCACATAACATCTTCCCCTCATAACACCTACTAGAAGTGGATACAGAACAAAGAATAATATTTTGAGGAGCTCTTTTTAGTAGAATAATGGACCGTCGAACAGGTAAGGAGGGGCATTATTGGATTTCTGCTAGAAAATATGCTTCACATGCATGAATATGACAGTTGACAGCATTAGAGAGCCATACCTCTACAGTCAATAAGGAAGGAAAGTAGTTGGTTTATCCAACTCTTTTTTGGAAAATTTGCGCTATCTTGTGGAATCCCATTTAAGGAAACTGTCTGAAGCTCACAGCAGATCAAAAAGGACACTTTGGGGCCCAGTAATGAGTTCTTCCAACTATATAAACCTCCCCGGACCATTCATCAAAATTACTACCTCCAGCAAACCATTTCTTGAGCTTCAAGAGTTTACGTCTAGTTGAGACGCTCAGATCTTCAAAAGGTGAGGCATCGATGATTTATTTTCCTTCTGCGTTTCATTTCATCATTTCATTATTTCAGCAAACCATTCATGATTTCCAGCTTCTGCACACACAAAAATATGCAGCCTTGAGTCCAAGTTTTTCAAAAAATTAAGCCCTTCAATACAAGATTAATGTGCCGCGAAATTTCTTCCTGGAATGAAATAATTGTTCATGTGTAAGCAATGCAGTTCTAGCATACAGACACTATTTCATGTTCACCTGAGACCTTGTTAACTATAACCATTTTATAGAATGAGGCCTCAAAGATGGATAAACAATAATAAGATTTCTCGGTTGTTTTTTCATGCTTCTTAAAATGGCCTATTTTGCTTCTCATATGCAAATTTGTTCTCATCATATTTTCATGTTCACTTTCAGTTAGACATAAAATGAGCAGTGGAGATTGGATGTGTGCTGCATGCCAACACATAAATTTCAAGAAAAGGGATGCATGCCAACGATGCAGCTGCCCTAAATATGCAACGTCAGCTGATGTTGCCATGTATGGACTAAACAAAACAGAAGTCTTAGCTGGAGATTGGTATTGCAGTGCAATGAACTGTGGTTCTCACAACTATGCGAGTCGAACAAACTGCTATAGATGTGGTGCCTTAAAAAGTGATTATTATGGTATTGGAATGATGGCATCAACAGGTTATGGATATGATGCAAGTGCTATTCCTGGTTGGAAGAGTGGCGATTGGTTTTGCAGCAGGTTAGTTCACATTTACTTCAATAACAACAACTACGTCTCAATTCCAAACAAGTCGGGGTCGGCTATATGAATCTTCACTGTTCATGTCGTTCCATTTAAGCTCATTTCTGTCCAATATTGCAACAACAACAATAACGCCTATGCCTCAATCCGAAATAAGTTGGGGTCGGCTATATGAATATTCACTAATCATGTCACTACATTTAAACTTATTTCAAACAAATTGTATCCAAGGGATCTTAACTGAGGATTCACCATAAGATTTACTATATTTACGCTAACTGTTAGCCTGCCGCAACTCTCCTCCTTTTACTATCTTTGGGATTTTAACTGAAATAACTGCCTTGTTGTTTGACAGATTAGGATGTGGTGTGCACAACTATGCCAGCAGAGCAGAATGTTACAAGTGCAAAACACCTAGGGATTTTGGTGAGCCTGATACTGCATAGTCGACATTTTACTTTCCAACACCATTATTATTTTCTAACATCTTGTTCATTTCTCTGTTATTCAGGAGGTGATCTGAGAGAAAGTAACCTATATTGAGGGATGCCGCGACATGAGTTATTACTGAAGATTTACCAGATCTCATAAGCTTCCTTTCTTTAACAGTTTTTAGTAGCACTTCCTTGTAGTTAATTGCTCAAAGAAGGTTTCTAATTCTAACTGCATTGTAACTGTGCAAAGTGTTCAATGAATGAAATCCCTTCAGATTTTGCATTCTCTCTGTCTTTCAAGTTTCAACAACTGCATTTTCGGGGTGGTCCAATAAATAATATTATCCTCACAATCACAATGGAAGACAATGTTAGAGTAGGCTCGAACCTTATATATGTACTAAAAGAATAAAAGAAAGTATATATACAAAGAACCAGACCTACTGATTCTAAATCCTTAATCAGTGCTGTTGACTGTGGCTTAGGTGAGTCTTCCACAATATCATTGTTGGAGAATCCGAGCAACATAGGTTTCGATCAAACAGTTTCTCAAAGAATTGAAGTTTGAAGAAATTAGTTAGATGGAACTTGCGTGTGATAATCAAACTGCCCTTCTAATTGCATCAAATTCAGTATTCCTTGACAGGACTAAATACATTGAGATTGATTATCATTTCGTCACAGAAAAGATACTCTCAGGATATATTATTACAAAGTTTGTGAAGTCAAATGATCAGCTTGCATATATTTCACCAAGTTCTCGTATTAGTTATATCTGTAACAAGCTCAATACATATGACTTATATGCACCGACTTGAGAGGGAGTGTTAGAGAATTAGTGTATATAGGAGGCTTAGTGCCACATCGGAATAGGAGTAGTATATTTTGTGTAGAATGTAGATATAAATAGGACTCATTGTATTATAGTAAAGTAACACATATCAACACTTTTGCAGCTGTGGCTACTCGTTGCTGCATTGTTTGAAAATCAATAATTGACTTACTTTTCTGAGATGCTTCTTACATTGAACAACCCAATCATAAATATCTAAATAACTTGTCCCTATAAAGGTTATTTGGATGCTGAAGATTGTCATCGGTGGGGTACTACAAATGCTAGGTACAATGATTTTTCTACGATTCTTGTTTTACACTGATCTTATTTAGAAACCTTTATTCTGATGAGATATTAGAGAGCATAAACTCACTTGTCAAACCGAAATCTTGCTAAAAGTAGTGAAGAACCCCAGCTAAAACAGTTTTAAGCATTTTTTTGTTTGGCTATAATGAAGACATCGTCTTAGACTGCTAGTGGTCAATGTTGTGTTTATACTGTTGAAAAATTAGTGATATCTCAAAAGGCAATGTCCATCTTGATTTGGGAAAACTTTTCTCTTTGAAATATCATTTACATCTACTTAGTATTTAGTAAGTTATTTTACAATTAATAGAGTCAAACTAGCCGTTATCTAGCCGTTGGAGCAACACCTATATAAACATAGTCTTTGAAGAGCTAAAGACACGCTTTCTAACACAACCTTCTAAATCTTCTTCTTCCTCCTATACGCTGGGTTTCTTTGTAGAATTTTCTGCTAGTTCTATTCTCAATTTAATAACTGGAAGAGCTTGTTGAATCCTGGGGGATACGTCTAATTTTATTTATCATTGCGTGGGCGAAATATCCTTAAGATTGTTGGAAAAATAGGTTATGGAGAATAGATGTTCGAAAAGGCACGTGTACAAAAGTCAAATTTTATTTCATTTGAGATGATTTTATGCCTTACTTGAGAAATACTATGAGTTAGTATTTTGTATGTGAATTTTCCACTGTATTAGAAGGATACAGTGATGATATTGAATCTCTGATTCAGATGTGCAAAACATACTAGTGATTGTGTGATCACCTTTTGATGAGATGTGATGATATTGGAATTGTCTGAAATGAGGTTGATTAAGCAACCTCTTGGTGAATATTCCACTAAGAATTAAGCCGACAACATTTGTGTCGATAATTGTGATTTTCAAGGCGCAATAGCTATTATAAGATAATAAATCTTTCAATGGGAAGAGTAGATACATTCTCTAGACACATAATGTGATAAAGCAATTGCTTAGAGATGAGAATTTTTTATACATATTATGTGTAGTCAAAAGATGATTTGGCCGATCCTTTGACTTATAAATGAATCATCGATTAGGTTGAGACTTTTGCCAATTTGAGATGTATCAACAATAATGGTAACCCAACCTATGTGATCTGAGATCCCATGAAGTATGTTCATATGGGTAATAACAAGTCATTAGTTGATCAAACATGCACTATTAAATTATGTCTCTTCCTATGGTGTGTATGTATATAGTGCAAGACTGCAAGGAATGTGAGATTGAGTTATTATACTCTTAATCCAATAATCCATAGCCTATTCTAGGTGGTGTATTGTGTTGCATAATACATTTGATGGATGGACCTATATGAGTGTGGAGTGGGGCCGCTCCTATGAAATTTGTGGCCAAATTTCTAGAGCACTCATGAAAACCAGGCGCGCGCATAGCCTATTAGCGCAAAATCGCGATAATAGCAAAAATTGTGGAGGTGTAATATGATGAATAAGTTCCCTAGCTTACAACAAGAATTTTTTGGTTCATAGAAGTTGTAAACTTCACCAACTATTCGGTAAGTTAAATCTTGTTTTATTTATATCTGGTTCATAGTCTATAAGACACCAGATGAATTTTATTATACCCCAAACCCAACAAATTATCTCTCTTTCTTACTTTATTTAATATTTATTTTTTATATCCCTTTTGAGATATGTGGGGGATTGTTGAAAAATTAGTGATATCTTAAAAGGTAATGTCCATCTTGGTTTGGGAAAACTTTTCTCTTTGAAATAGTATTTACATCTACTTATTATTTAGTAAGTTATTTTACAATTAATAGAATCAAACTAGTCGTTAACTAGCCGTTGGAGCAACAACTATATAAACATAGTTTTTAAAGAGCTAAAGACACACTTTCTAACACAACCTTCTAAATCTTCTTCTTCCCCCTATACGCTGGGTTTTCTTGTAGAATTTTCTGCTAGTTCTGTTCTTAGTTTAATAACTGGAAGAGCTTGTTGAATCTTGAGGGATACGCCTAATTTTATTTATCATTGTGTGGACGAAATATCCTTAAGGACAGTATCTTTGACACGCCTCAAGCTAATTCTTATTCTCCATAACCTATTTTTCCAACACATACTACTCTTGTATTTTCATAGCGCCGGACCTTATTTACTGGTTATTGTTTTTGCTTTCTATCTATGTACTGGTTCGTGTGATATTGTTATTATTTCTATGGTTTTTGTTGATGGCACTGATATATTGTCTTTTTTTGTCTTCTTGAGCCGATGGTCTATCGGAAACAACCGCTCTACCCCTTGGGGTAGAGGTAAGGTCTGCGTACACTACCCTTCCCAAATCCCACTTGTGGGATTTTACTGGGTCGTCGTTGTTGCTGTAATGAACACATCCAGATAGGGACATGGGCATCTGCAATCATTTTTCTTGATTCAATGGTCACAACCTGTGATTACTGGATGAGTTGTTTCATATTTTGCCCTTGTTTTTTCAGATAACTCAATTGTATAGATAAGAAGAATATATCTTAATTAAGCACTATTAGCAAAAGTAACACTTGCTAAACAGCACAATAGGAATATGCAAAATTCAAAAGCAAGTATTATTGAGGAGGATTGGCCCCCTTTACAGAATGGTCACATATATAGAATAAAGGATGGAGTTTTATCTGAGGTTTTCTTATCCAGAATATTCATCTTGTCTGGTTAAAAATGGTGATTAGGATTCCTCCTTATCAAATCCTATGTCAACACGCGCGCTTCTGTGCTTAGGTGGAATCATCTATGGTTGCCATGTCAGCATTTGAGGCCCCGTGTTGAGATGGTTAATTATGTAAAAGTGACTATATACTTGTAAAGTGGCTAGTTAGTTAATTTGTTAGAGGCTATTTTTGCTATTCATTTTAGTTAGGATATTTTGTATATATATTGATGCTACAGATGTAAAAAAGGTCAGTTGACCCATTCTAGATTCTTCTTTCTTCTCTTTCTTCCTTATGCAAAACTCTGTCTCTCCGATCTCCATTGTAGCTCACCTCGAGCTTGAGTGAGGTGAGGACCTGTGTTTTACATGGTATCAGAGCTCGGCCATCCCACTACGATCGTCTCTTTTGTTCTTTTACTTTCTTCAGTACATTGTCTCTTCGATTTAGCCCTAGTTTTGATCGATTTCTGAGGTCTGTTCGATTTGCCCAAATTTGAGTGCCTAATCAAAGGCTTCTTCTTCCAACAGTGAAATACTAGCATAACTAGCTTCGACTTCTCATGGCTGTGGACGATTTGAACGACATAGATACTACAACAGTGAATGTAGGAATTCAAGGAAATTCCGAAATCGATACTAGTGATCCTTTGTATTTACACCCGTCAGATAACCCTGGTGCTATGCTTGTGTCAACTCCTTTCTGCGGAGTTGGCAATCGATCATGGAGGCGCAGTGTATTGCGAGAACGCTCAGTCGAAAATAAACTAGGGTTCATAAATGGTGAATGCAAGCGCCTAGATCCCCACTCGCCCACTTTCCGTCAGTGGGAGCGATGTGATGATATGGTAACCTCTTGGATCCTCAATTCTCTCTCGAAGGACATTACAGACAGTGTTGAATACGCGAATGATGCTGTGGAGTTATGGATTGAGTTAGAGGATCGATATGAGCAAACAAATGGAGCTAGACTGTATCAAATTCAGAAGGAAATCAATGATACATCCCAGGGGACTCTTGATATCACCAGCTACTACACTAAATTGAAAAAGCTTTGGGAGGAATTGAGCACTTTGAGCAAGAGATCCCAGTGAAGCTGTAATTGTACTTGTGGTGCCAAGGAAAACTTCTATAAAGATGAACAAGATAGGCGACTAATCCAGTTCCTTATGGGTTTGAATGAAACATACACTGTGATTCGAGGAAGCATCCTGATGATGAATCTGTTGCCGACATTGGCTCAAGCCTTTTCTTTGCTGATACTAGATGAGAAACAGAGAGAAATCAAGCTAAATACTCAATTGTTCATTGAGTCCACATCACTGAATGCCACCAGCTCTAGGTCAAATGCCTATAGGACCAATTACTCACCCAACAATGGTAATTACAGTGGCTATGGTAGGGGAAGACCTATGTGTGACTACTGCAAAAAGCCCGGACACACTAAATTCTGGCCACTCACGC